GCGCAGGGCGCCCCCTCCTATATGGCGCCCTAGGCGGCTGCCTAGTTCGCCTTATAGGAAGCGCCGTCCCTGTCTGTATGCAATCTGTGCCCTATCTAGGGTATGTGTATAGGATACCCCCAGTTCCATGTGTCGTACTGGGTTGGATATGTGGAGGGGATTTTTCACTGTGTATGTCTGCCTGCATTAACCCTTTAACATTGGGTTCTTCAGACCCCATTTGCCTATCTGGTTACCCTCCAATAAGTGACCCTTATACTCCTTACACTCTCAGAGTGTCTGGCCTGCTTTGTTTGTGCCCCTATGACTGGCCTGCTTTGTCTGTGCCCATAAGTTTGGCCTGCTTTGTCTGTGCCCCTATGACTGGCCTGCTGTGTCTCTGCCCATAAGATTGGCCTGCTTTGTCTGTGCCCCTATGACTGGCCTGCTTTGTCTGAGCCCATAAGATTGGCCTGCCTTGCATGTGCCCATAAGATTTGCCTGCTTTGCCTGTGCCCATATATATGTGGCCTACACTGTCTGTGTCCTCCGTCTGGCCTGCTCTGACAGTACATTTTCTAAGCCGGCACATACTCACGCCTAAACCCCTTACGGCCGCTGGCCTAGAATATTATACAGGAGTTTTTTATACTGGGGTCCTCTATAACATTTGTGTCCATATACATTACTCCCGTAATAACCGGGTGAAGCATGTCATTTCTACCCCCAGGGTCATACTACGGTCAGGATGGACGCTCCTACCCAAGAGGGCAACAGGCTATGATTAATGCGGCCGTTGCCGCTTCGGTGGAGAAAGCCATTTCGCACGCACTGCCTCGGCCGTCCCAAGATAGGGATGTATCAGAGACTCAGCGCACGCTGATAGAGTCCGACCCCAACTCTCCGGGCAGAGAACAAGCACGAACCCCCAAACGCTACTGGAAGGGTGAAGGCCCTGAGCCGAGTGTCCGCTCCTGCAAAGAGGCCTAAGCGGGCGACCGCCTCACCTCCAACGCGTCCACGATACTTCCCCCAAGAGGAGGAAGAGTTCACCCTTCCCGCATCCCTGTCCATACTGGATGAATGGCAGATCAATCCCCCTCAGAGGACGAAGGGGGTTGGGGCGAGGAAGATCCGGAGGAATCAGCGTACCGGCAGGACGCTGATGAAGATGCCTCGCTATACCTACACTCCTCCCTTGGGGAGGAGGTCTTCCTGGACTCATCGGGCAAACCTTTATTTGACCCGCGCACCATCCGGCACCCCAGGTCTCCTGAGTGGTCTCTACCCGAACACTTGGCCCAGTTCGTCCATTATTGGGTTTGCAGACCCCTCGACTGGGCAGCGCGGAAGAGACTGAGGGCTGAGTGCCCTAGACCCACTTTGCTATGGTCGCTATGACGCCCGATTTCGACACCTATTTGACCCGTACCGGGCGCGATCCCAAGAAGGGGATCGAACGCAATCTCTGTCTGGCACAAGATAAGGTGCTTGACATATTGGGGCCGCTGGCACGGATCCTTACCATGGCAGACTAGCCCTGGATGCTGCAGCCGTAAGAGATTGGGCATTACGCTCTGTTTGCCTGCTGGGCAACTCTAACGTAGCAGTGTGCATGGAGCGGAGGAAGGCGGTCCTCATGCGCATGGACGCCAAGTTATCGGAGTTGGGTTCCAAGGAACTGGAGAACCCTTCATCAAGGAGCTCCAGAGGCACGTCAACCTCTATGCCACCCTGAATAAGGCCCAATCTTCGATGAGGAGGGTGTGCCGCACTAACACCTCTCGTGTTTTTGGCAGGGCTGGAAGGCAGCGGGGTCGTGCCTCCAGCCGTTTCTGGCCATCGAGCCACCGAGGATCCCGGTCTCCATCTTTCTTCCCCAGCTACCACTGTGGATCCTTCAACTTCCAGAGGTCGTACCATGGCAGAGGGAATCGGACACGCGGTAGGGGCAGAATGCCCACAGGTGAGACAAGTTGCACCACATGTTTTTCCCAGTCTGTTACTTACCGGCAGGTTACGTTTTTGTCTCGACAGGTGGCGGCACATTTCTTCGGATGCTTGGATACTCCAAACTGTCTGAGGTTACGTTATAGACTTCCATTCACCCCCAATCCAGAAGGTGATCCCCTTGGCCCCAATGTCGTCAAGGGCACTACAAGTCCTGATAGACGCCGAAATACAGACCCTGTTCGACAAGGGGACAGTTCAGTGGGCGCCGGACAACGGAGGCTTCCTCAGCTCGATTTTCCTAGTCAGGAAAAAGACAGGAGATTTCCCACTCAGGGTCCTGGCATGGGTGGTAGGCCTATTGTCCGCCTTGATCCAGGCCATTTACTCAGGTCCCCTTCACTACAGAGCCATGCAACGCCTGAAGGCACATTTCCTCTGCAGGAAGCCCTCATACGACCAACTGATCCCCATCACGCAGGAAGTCAAGACCAAACTTCGTTGGTGGCTGTTGCATATGTCAGCCTGGATCGGCAAGGCAATTTTCGGTCCGACCCCGGACTTTGTCCTGGAATCGGATGCAAGCCTATGGGGCTGGGGAGTGACCTGCGCGACCATCTCCATGGGAGGCCCCTGGTCGAGCACGGAAACAGGGTACCATATCAACTGTCTGGAAATGATTGCGGGCTCATTCGCGATACGGAGCCTTGCGGGTCATCTGTCGGTTTGCTGCATCCTGCTGAGAATGGACAACGTATCAGCAGTACAGTATATCAATCGCCTGGGAGGAGCATGCTCACGGGCACTGACGGAAGTGACGAAGGAGATTTACAATTTCTGCCTTCAGCGCAATATCACTCTACAGGCGGAATACCTCCCAGGTGTGTCGAACCTGATGGCAGACTGGTTTTCCAGGCACTGGAGGGATGCCAACGATTGGCGTCTCCATCGACCAGTATTTTTTGAAGTGGCGCAAAGCAGGGGCCCATTCATGGTGGATCTGTTCGCTTCCAGATCTCTAATTACTTCAGCTGGCTACCGGATCCGATGTGCGCAGCAGTGGATGCTTTTCTTCAGAACTGGCCGGCACATATGCATTTCCACCATTCACTATGATCTCCAGGATCCTTCTCCAAGTACGACGTCAACAGACATCGTTGGTGTTACTGACACCTCTTTGGCAAGGCCAGGCTTGGTTCCCAGAATTTCTAGAGCTGTCGATCCCTTTACAGCACCTGTATCCAGCGTACTGAATTTCCTTTCCTACCTCTTTGACCAAGGGAGGTCATATCGCTTGGTTAACGTTGCCAGATCGGCCATTTCAGCGGCTCATGTTCCTCTTCAGAGGACGCCCATTGTTCAAGATCGATTGGTTTGTAGACTGTTCCAAGAAATCAGACTGTCATGCCCACTAAGTATACATCACTCTGGGAAGTGCACCGAGTTTTGGATTTCATTCAGGCGTGGCCGGAGAATCAGGACCTTTCTCTACGACAGTTATCGGCCAAGTTCACACTTCTCTTATGCCTGGTATCGTTTCGTCAGGTTGCCGACGTCCAGGCTTTCGATATTAACGCATTCACCTTTTCTCCTGAGGGGGTGACCTTTGCGGTGTCGAGATGTACCAAGTCCGACTCCTCTGCCATTTTCTACCCCTTTTTTCGAGAGGCTCCTAAGCTCTGTGTGGTTTCTGCTCTGTCTCGTTATGTGGCAGTTACTACCCCACTTTGAAGTTCCCTATCAAGACAACTGTTGATATCTTACGTACGACCGCATAAACCGGTGTCTACCATTACCCTGGCTCGTTGGATCAGATGGCTTTTGTCATTGGCCGGCGTGGACTCCTCTTTTGGCGCTCATTCGGTAAGAGGCGCGGCGGTGTCAAGAGCCCTGGTGGCAGGTGCTTCCCTGGCCGATATTCTACGTTCAGCAGACTGGTCTCGAGAAGACACATTTCAACAGTTTTATTTCAGACCTACGGAACATGCAGCCTTTGCCCTACTGGCTGAGCGTTGAAACTGCAAATATGAAGCCTCCTGTCATGTTATAAAATTGTAGATTATGCGAGCTTTAGTGTACCTATAATCTTAATTTTATTAATGACAGGAGGTGAATATTTCCCACCCTTTGTTTTTCCCGACCCTTGTGTGTTGTATTATCTGGCAGGTTTTATATTAATAAAGAATTATTTTTCTGGTCAGTGTTCGTTGTGGTTATTTCCTTTGATACGTTTTCATTTTTCTGCCTGGGCCGGGATCT